GCGGTTCAGACCCCCATCACGGTTAGCGTCGAACTGGTTGAAAATTCGACGAACCTTCTCCGATCTGGTGCCCCTCGTCGCCATTTCGGAGCTCAAAATCGAAACTTGGTGGTGGAAACGATGGTGGGTCGGTGCCGGTGAGGATGTGTCTGGGTAAAGAGAAAAATATTATTAAAATAAAATACACCTAATTTTTTAATAAGGATTTGAAATTGGAACCCCAATGAGTTGATTTGGGGTTGGAGTCAGAAGGGGTTACTTGTGGTTGATGATAATGATGATAGGTGGTTGTGTTGTGGGGTTGGGGTTACTACTGAGAGGGACCATTTTTTAAAGGGGCATGGATTTTGAAATTGGAACCCTAATTTTGTGTTTGGAATCTTTTGTCGAGATTTGGGGTTGGAGTTTTGGTGATGATGATGATGATGGGTGGGGGTGTGTGGGTGGGAGCTAAAGGGGATGATGGGACCAATTCCAAAGGCTATGATTTTTTTAGGGTTTGAAATTGAAAACCCTAAATTGCTTTTGAAATCATTAGGAATTGATTTCTGATTTAGTTTGTACCATGAGCTGGTTATCGTTATTTTCGTTCTTGTTAAGGTGATTTGTCAAGCTCGGCTCAGCTGTAAAGGGAATTGAGGAAGAAACAGCACACTCTCTTTCTCAATCAATTTTAATTTCCTTTTTCTCTTTTAGTTTATGTGATTATACTGCTGGATATTTGATCCAGTGGGGCTTAATTAGTTATTTTGGGTTAACTAATGATAGTTATGGGTAGGTAATAATATACATCTGTCATGCAAGCTTTTGTATGCAAATAACATGATAAAGCTATAAATATTTTATTTTATCCCATCATTGCATTATTTCAATATAATAGCTATTCCATCATTCAATATAATAGCTTTCTACAGGAAAATACATAGGTAATAGCCTTATTTTTCTTTGCATGCAAAAAAGAAAAATAGTTATTCAAATACAAAATACTTAGTGTGTACTTTAAAGTAGTTTATTTTATACTTGAATAAAAAATTATATGCACATTTAAAAATGTTTACATTCCTCTCATTTTGTTATTTTTTATGACAAATTATTCAAGACAAATAAACAGAAAAAAAAAGGGGGAAAGAGAAGAAAATAGATCATAAAAATAATTTTTATTAAAAGAGAGAATGCATAGAGGCGATAGAGTGAGAGAATGTTGAGGCTGAATTAAAAGTTAATACATCATACCCTTACATTATAGTGATCATCATCTAAGATAAAAGGAGAAAGTGGGAAATTATCTCCATGAGAGGAATTGCAAGTGTTTCTGTGCAAGTGCACACTTCACAATCATGTCAGGTGTAGAATCATGGGACTAGATGTGAAAGTTTTGAAAAACAAATCTTGTTATTTGTTCTCATGGTGTTGGATGGGATAAATGTCTTGTCAAGTATGTGTAGGAGTATAAAGGTATCATAAGATAAACAATTGTTCTTACAAATCAATATAAGAATTTTTAACATATTTTGTCATCACTCACACTTTTTTGGAAATTAACTTTCCAATGTTACCATCTTAATTTTCTCCAAGTCAAATAAGCTTAACTATGAAGTTCTTAAGTAATGAGCTACTAAAAAGTAGTTTCATTTTGTTGATATGTGTAGTACTAATTAATTTCTTTTAAGTCTTCCTTAACTATATAGTCTCAGACTAGCACGACTCTAAATCTCTCTCATTTTTTGTGTGTTAAAGATGTTACAAGTCAACCAATTTTTGCTTGATTCATCCTCATACCACATTGTACTAGAGAGAAGATCTGATTTGATACAATTTGTAACACCTTTAGAATTGACGTTACAACGATTACATATCGTGACACTTTACTCAATGACACTTTTTATCGTGGTTTTTCCTCTCTCTGGCACACTTTATGAGAAACTTCCCAAAAGGTCACATGTTCCTAAATTACTCCAAGTCAAGTACACTTAACATATGTGGGGTTATTAAGTGATGAACTACCTACAATTAGATGCATTTTGTTGATATATGTAATATTACTTAATGATGCATTTTGTTGATATATGTAATATTACTTAATTCATTTTAAGTCATCTTCAATTGTATGGTCTCACACTTGTACAACATCTGAGTTTCTCTCATTCCAATGTGTTTAGGATGTAATAGATAAGAATTATTCGTTTGAATTAATTATTGTGTAAGTTAAGCTTTGACTCCAAATGGATTATATGTGTTTGAATGTGAATAAAGTGTGTCAAGTTAAATGTGGTCATCAATGGAGAGGAAGTTGGCCCAATTATTCCCATAAAGGGTATTCATTAGGGAGGCCCATTATCTCCATGTCTCTTCATTATATGGATGGGGCCTCTTTTGTCTTTTGAAGAAAAATGAAGTAAGGAGAGATATTCATGGTATCAAAATATGTAGAAGGTATCCACAATATTTTTAATGGAAAGTAGGTAATGATTCATGCCTCATGTTTTCTACATGTTCTTTAACTGAATTTTCAATTTACTAATCTTTGTTTGTGTCTATGATCTAAGTTATACCTAGAGTTTATTCCCAATTTGGTACGTGAATTCACATCTAACCATTCTGGTGTGAATATTTGAAGACATTAGGCAAAGAGCCATGTAACCACACATTGATCTTGTTGCTCCTAAGATTCATCTGCTTCATTCATTTTCCCCAATTATTCATCTTCATCATTCAAGAACTTGTGTGGCACCCCCTTCCTCCCTCCACCATGCGAATTTTCTTCTAAGATAAACTTTTGTAGCTTACGAGCTTTGATTATACCCATGGCTTACATTTTCCATGTCAAAAAATTATCCTCATCCAACTTTACTAATATTGGAATCATTGATTTAAAATAAGAAATGAAAAATTGTACAAGTGTGTCCATGATTATATCTTAACTCTAATACTATAAAGGTACTAAAGTATCAAGATTAGAAGAAAACCTTCAAAGAGAAAAGTAAATAACAAATTTTATATCAAATGAAATGTTATCTTAAGATATAATACAATACACATATATATAAGAAGGGTTCAAACGATAATAGTGTAACTTTTATCAATTATTACATCATTCAATAACTTTTAATTAAATGTTAATTTTTTAAAAACTTGTCATTAGAATGAAAGTTCTTTATTCTAAAATCATATATACAAAAGTTTATATTAATTCAAGATAATTTGATATCTCATTCTTATAGAGCAAAATTGATATAATATATACATTTCAAAATATACTAAAATATCAACACTTTAATTACCTTTAAGTTGTTCTATTTTAATAATATACATATAATGTGACATGAAATTATAATTCAACGATTGGATCGATAAAATTAACATTTAATTTAAAGTTATTAAACGTTATAATAGTTAATAAAAATTACACCAATATCATTTACACAAAAAAAAAAAATTGATAACTACCTCAATTGAATAACTATTATCCCCTTTAACACTCTCACTCTTTCATGTACAAGCTTTGAATTTGTTTCCTTTGAATTATTTTTGTGTTATTAAATTGTTGTTAGTTCTCGTTTATTGTTTGCTTTACACGACTACTATAGTCACAATGTAAATGTTCATTGTTTGCCTATTGTTTTCTCAATACTCAAAACACAATAATCGAACATAATGCCTAGAACCAATGAAAATGTTCATCATTAAGCAACTTAACACAATCAGCTATTCCCTCAATAGAACAAGTCAAGAATGTTCTAGTTTTTTTTTTCTTCATTTGGAAAAAAGACAAAACAACTAAAACAAAAACTAATATCGAACATGAGTAACACCTATGGTGTAAACAAGCAAATGAGAAACAAGCTGTGGAGGACAAGTTTCCCATAAACTAATAGACTGTTGTTGTGATGATGATGAGCTTTGTTTGGCTGACCAATCTAAAAACCAAGTGAAGAAATCAACCTTGTTAGAAGTGTCTATTTAGTTTACAAGTAAAATCAATCAATTTAATACACCATATCACGTATTCACTCCTATTATTTATTATCTATAAACCCACAAATCAAATTCTTTTGAGTTTTTTATGCTAAAGAAATTCTTTTGAGTTTAACATATCAACTCGTGTAAATCTACAATTAAATGATTCGGAATTTTTTTGTCCAAATTAGCACTCACCACAGGTAATGAAGACTTGCCCATGGATCGTGGCTCGTATTCATATAGAATCCTAGCCCAATTCTTTTTGGGCTGTGGATTAAATAAATTGGTATACCAATTAATTCACTTTTTTTCAAAAGAAAAATTATATCCACAATTCCACATTATTAACCTAATAACATGTAATAATATTTCTATAAATTCATCGTTCTCCTATCATTTTATATAACTATAGTATTTTAGCTAGATTAACGTTTAGACAAAATATTTATTATATGTAACTAAAGTTTATAATAAATTATATATAAATAATATTATATGTAAATATATAAATCATATTTAAAATTTATATAAATAGATATTTTTAAACACATAAATTATATTTTAAATATTTTTATAAATAGTTTATATTGTAACATAATATTATTTATTTATTGATAATTTATTTTAAAAATATTAAATTTATTTCATAAATAATTATGGTAAATAAAAATTAAATTAGATAAGATGTTAAAAACAATTCTAAAAAGTAAAATTCTTCTCATTAAAGAAAAGTCTTTATAAATATTATTATGTAAAATAGTAATTTATATTTAATATATAAGAATTGATTATAATATTTCTACATTAACATATTATGTATTGTATCAATTTTTATACTTATTTATAATAGTAAAATTTATTATCTTCTAAGTTTAATATTTTTGTTTATTGTTTCTCTAAATACATGAAAATTAATCCAAACAAATACAGGACCAAATCATAATAAATAAATAAATAAATAATATCCTAGCTCACTGCGGCTACCAGTTTTTAAATTGAGCCGAGTTAAATTATGACATAGCCTAAATGTTAAAAACTCAACTCATATCCTTTTGACAATCCTTCCATATGGATTGCTACATATGAATTTAGGCTGCAATTGACTTAACTTTTTTAGCTCTTTTTTCAGAAAAATAAAAAAGTTCACCGGACCCAAATAATTTCTATAATAACATTGTTTTCTTAACTCTTCATTAATTTTTCTTTGTTTTTAATTTCTAGAGCTTATTTTTTTAAATTCTGTTTTACCAAATTTATCCTTTTAAAGAATAGACAAGCCCAAACCCAAAACTTTGATGTAGAGATCATGTAATCAAATGGGTATTATATTTAACACATTTTCTAACATATTCTTCTTAATACACTCACTTTCATGAGTTAGAATTTATTAAAAACTATAAAATTAAGAGAGAGTCATTAAATAAGATGTAGGACTCACAAATTGTATTCTTTTAATAAATTTCAATCAATTAAAGAATGTGTATTTAAAATAGTGTATTAAAAACTATACTGTATAGTTAGTCTAGAGTTTGAATATTGGTCTTAGATATGGAATAAATTGTATTGAGAGAAAAATGTACATTTTAAATGCGTTCAGGATCTTCATTGAAGATTAACCACTATTTTTAGTAATAGATATTTTATATTAATATTATGATT